AAGGTGGAAAAGGAGGAGCAGCAAATTCTCTAGCAGTCAGTGGTGCAAACATATGAAAAGAGAAAGGATAATGAAGATAAATTTAATGAGGAAGACAAATGGGCTACTGAAATGTATAGGCAACAAAGACTGGCTAAGTGGAAAGCAACTTGACTGAAAAATAAATTTGGCAAAGTTTTGGAGATCTCAGGAAAGGATTATGTTCAAGAAGTTATGAAAGCTGGTGAGGGCTTATGAATAGTCTTGTACCTTTACAACCAAGGGTGAGCTAATCTTCCACATGGTCTATAAGCTGTTGGTTGGAATTTATGTCTTGAACCTGTATTAAGCTTAATATCAGAGGTTTTGTGTTTTGTGTTCCACTAACATTCTGTATTTTTATTGCCAATTTGCCAAAAACTTAGTGCCTGATTCTCATCTTAAGGCTTTCAAATTAATATTTATTAATGATATAAGTGCCTTTGTTAAAGTATGGAATGAAGACTTAATATTCTTTTACCGGAAATGATTCCTGGATGGAAAGGAGAAATACTAAGGAATGATACTGGCCAAATTATACTGTTATATTAAGTACATGTGTGAGTACATAACAACAAATCCCATCATTATGTACAACTATAACACACCAGTAAAACTATGGAAAAAATTGTAGGACATATTTTATTTAAGGCTATTGCAAGAGGGGTCTTAGTTCAACTCATAACATAATAAGGGCAATGAAAATCTATCGCCAGTGTACACAATATAGTGTTAGTGGATGGAAAATTACTAAGAAGAGACATCACGGGCAAGGGGGTTCTTGCTAAATTGTTCTAAAACAGGATTCTTGCTAAGAGTGAGCCAGACTTATATATTAAATGTAGGGGATGAGGAACTTGATCAGATATTAGGGTCACAGATATCAAGGGTGGAATATTAACTTAGCAGGAGTCATTTTAAGGCTTGCTTTAAGCAGGCCAAGGACAGAGCCCAAGGATGAAGCGTAGCTGAATAGTGAGTAGGCTCAGAGAAGTCTGCCTGAAGCTTAGTCAAACAGAGTCTCTTTTGTCATGTAAGACTTTTACACTGAAAACTATAAAACATTGTTGAAAAAAATAAAGATGTAAATGAATACAAAGATGTATCACATTTATGGATCAGAAGTTTAACAGTTTAAATAGTGAAACTCCCAGATTCAACACAATTACTGAAATCCATGATAGTTTTTGTTTGTTTTGTTATGCAGAAACAAACAAGCTCACCTTAAAGTTCAGAGAGAAATAAAAGTACCCAGAATGGCCAAAGCCATCTTCAGAAGAACACAAAGTTGAAAAATTAATATTTCCTGATTTTAAAACTTATTACAAAGCTATGATAATCAGGAGAGTATGGTACTGGCATAAAGTTAAATGGAACGGAACCAAAGGTCCAGAAATAAAGCCATACATTTGTGGATAACTAATTTTCCATAAGAGTGTTAAAACCATTCAATGATGAAAGAAACTCTTCAACAAATGGCTCTGGGACAAATATATATATTTGGACTACTTCCTTATACCAAACACACAGTGACTCAAAATAAATCACAGATCTAAATTTAAGAACTAAACTATAAAACTCTTGGGAGAAAACTCTTGAGAGTTAAGTCTTGGTAACCTTGGCTTAGGCAATTATATTCCTAGAAATGACAAGAAAAAAATGAACCAGACTTTATTAAAATTTAAAACTTTTGTGTTTCAAAAGACACCATAAAGAAAGTGTAGAAAAACAACTCACTGAATGGGATAAAATATTTGTAAATTGTGTGTCTGAAGGGTGTACTACCTAGTATATATAAAATACTCTTATAGTTCAACCATAAAAAGACGAATAATCCTCTTAAAAATGGCAAAGGATTTTTTAATAGATATTTATGCAAAGAGAGAAAATATATGAATGGCCTCTAAGTACATAAAAAGATGTTCAACATCATTCGCCATCAGGGAAACACAAATCAAAAACACAATGAGGGTTGGGGTTGTAACTCAGTGGTAGAGCGCTTGCCTAGCCCATGTGAGGCACTGGGTTCAATCCTCAGCACCACATAAAAATAGATAAATAAATAAAATAAAGGTATTGTGTCCATCTACAACTAAAAGATGTTTTAAAAACACAAGGAGATACCATTTTACACAAGCTTAGATTTAGTAATACATTTTATCAAGGACATGGAGAAGTTGGACCTCATAAATTGTTACTGGAAATATACAGGAAAATTTGGCCCTTCTTCAAAATGTAAAACAGAGTTACCATGAGACCCAGCAATTCTGTTCCTATGTATATATACTCAACATATCAATGGATGTGTAACTGATGTGATTCTGCAATCTGTATACGGGGTAAAAATGGGAGTTCATAACCCACTTGAATCAAAGTGTGAAATATGATATATCAAGAACTATGTAATGTTTTGAACAACCAACAATAAAAATTAAAAAAAAAAGAAAAAGAAAAAAAAAAGATAGCTGAAAACATGTTCAATCAAAAACTTGCACACAAATGTCCACAGCAGCATTACTAATAATGGCCAGGAAATGGAAAGTACTTAAATGACCATTAATCGATAAGGGAATATTAATCAGTTATAAAAATGAATGAAGTACTGAGAGATGCTACAAGATAAATGACTCTCAACATTGTTATGGTAAAGCAAAAGATGCCAGGACACAAAATGTCATATGTGATTCCATTTATATAAATTGTCCAGAATAGGCCAAATTTATAGAAACAAAAGGGAGATTAATCATTGCTGGGGCCTAGGAGTTGAGGGGAAATGGGGAGTGACTGAAAATGTGTACAGCGTTTCTTTTCAGGGTGATAAAAATGTTCTAAATTGCAGCCATGGCTGTACCACTCTGTGAATATAATAAAAAACAATGAATTGTATACTTTAAGTGGGTGAATTACATGATATGAAAATATTCAATTATGCAGTTACAAAAGTCAAAGGAAAATAACTGCAAATATGTTTTCTATATTTCTGATTTGCTGTTTCTATACCTCTAAAAACAAGTCATTTAGAAGTTGACTACAAAGGCTGATTTTACTATATATATATATATATATATATATATATATATATATATATATGATTACATTACAGATGATTCTACATCATGTACAACCAAAAGAATGAGAAATTATACTCCATTTATGTATAATGTGTCAAAATGCATTCTACTGTCATGTATAACTAATTAGAACAAATTAAAAAAGGGTGATTTGCTGGAAATTTTATGCATCTGCAATAAATAAATGATATTGTAGTAGTGGTCAACCTTCTTTTTCAGGCAGAATACATACATTTGGTGACAAAGAAAGAGTGAGAAGCTTTAGTAGTTCTCTTGACAGATATTCTAGTCTCTGTCTAAATATATTAGTAAAACTAAAATCAAGGGGGAAATCACTTTAGTCAAGACACATACAAAGAAACAAAAATGGTTTTGTATTTTATTAATCCTATTCCTAGGAATTAATCTCAAGCCAAAAAAAGATTAAACACTATTATTTTAATGCAGATCTCTTAATCAGTACTATTTAAAGAATGTTTGAAAGTGGTTTAACTAAGTCTAAGCACACTATTAAGTCCAATTGACATTACTTTCACAGCAAGACACAGCATTGATTTACATCCTTCATCAAGCTCCTTATCTAGTAGCAAAACAGCACTCTGAGTAACACAGCTCTAAGGAACCTAGGTGTCCAAAATAAGGACATGGTTAGGTAAACTGTGATATATTACCTAAATGAAATACTGTATGAGGATAAAGTGACCTAAAAATAGTTGACCATTATTCAATTCTTATTATATGTCAGTCACTGTACAAAGTTCTTTCTATATACTATCTCATTTATCCTTGTAATCTTAGGTTCTATTATCAGCATTTTTTTTTGCAGGTTAGAAAATGAAGCTTAGAGAAATTAGAGGATTGCTAAAAGGCTAACAGCTGGCAGGAAATACAATTAAAACTAAAATTCAGGCATATGACTCTAAATCTAGCCACTTTACTATACTGCCTCCACAAAACTGAATATAAACTATATTAAGTATAACTGGGGATAAAAATTTAAAAGGAAACAATGGAAATGAATCTTAAGAAAAATAAAACTTGGAGTAAAATTTTAAAATGGTTTTCATGATTTGTAACTGTTCTAAGAATAAATGTAAAAGTAATTCAAATAGTAAATCAAAAATTATGAATAGACATTTATAATATTTGACCATGTCTCAAATATAAAGCAGTTATATAATGACTTCATTCAATTCTGTAAAAATATTACTTTTAGAAGATATATTTAAAAGAGTGGCTCTCTAACTTGAATATGCATTGGAGTCCCCTAGAGAGTTGTGAATACACAGCTTGCTGAACTGCATCCCCAGAATGTCTGATTCAGCAGGTTTGGTTTGGGTCCCCAAATTTGCATTTCTAATAAGCTTCCAGGCGATGTTGATGCTGCTAAATACTAACATCATCTTAAATTTAAATATCACTGATAAATCAATTAAAAATAAATATGATACATCTCTTTGGATTATTTTAACATGCAAAGCATCTTATTTTGAAGAATACAACAGTATTTTGCCCCAATTCTTTTTCTTTCAATCAAGAGTCACAAATTCCCTAGGAAGGTCAAATAGTTATATTTAAAGTATTTACTGATAATATTAGTTGTCTGGGTATCACCAAACAAAACTGACAAAATTATTCTAAATTGCTAAAATAAGGTTTTTGTAATTTAGTCTTCTTAAGCAAACTAATAAATTTAGATTGAATAACAATCATAAATACTAAGATAAAACCATTCATACAAGCAGATAGTACCACAGGTAAATAACCTCCATATCTCGGCCATATTTCAATTATCTTCTAATAGTGATAACAGAAAGCACTGTTTGAGCTTCTCTAGAACAATTTGATCATAATCAAGTAATCCATTATCATTTCTGTCCATATGCTTGAAACTATGCCATTGAAACATACCTATGTTTCTGACCATGATTCCTTTCAGTTCATCCACTTGGGCTTGAGTCTCCATCACTTTGTCTAGGCCCTTATTCTCAGAGTGATGCTTCTATAAGAGAATAAGTTTTAACCTATGGCACCCAGACATTATTTACAATAGGAAAATAAAAGCAAGAAGAATGATAATTTATATTGAGAAATGCTATAAAATTTATATTACATAAAAGATATATTCTGCTTCACTATAAAATGGTATCAGACCGAGGGAAAATACTGGCAGCATAAAAATGCTTCTGTATGAAATATAACTGTTACAGTATAAAAACAGCATCTTACATAAAATAAAATAAAATGTATTATAACATATCAAATACACACCTGATACTCATGGGGCAGAAGTGAAAGAATATGTAATCTATTTTCAGACAAGGAAGAGAAGAGAAAAAAAGAAGACTATAGTTGGGGTAGAAGAAACAGAACAGAGAAAAGGCACTCTAAATTGTTCCCCATTTCTTAGGTTTGATGAGTTAGGGACAGGCGCAGTTTCTTAGTATCTGTTCTATCTGCGGGGTTAATAACATGCATCCTATTTTCATTTATTTCTCATAGAATCTAGAATCTAAGACACTGATCATAATATGTATTTTGAAATTATTATACATAACTAACAATTATGGAGTATTTAATATACACTGTTCCAGTTACTTCAATATGTTCAATGCTTCAACCTGGGGAGGGGGATGTTATTCAATCTACCCAAAAACTGTATAATGAAGATGCTTCCATTATCTCCATTTATAATGGGAAGCTGACATAGGTTTGCTCAAAGGGTCACATGCAAATCTGGAGCTACTGACAAACCAGCAAATTTGAAAGCTTTTCTGCCAGCTGACCCTACTTACTTTCGAATGTGCATTGGTATATATTTTGTTGGTAGTCTTTTTCTCAGCTTCACATATATGAACATTCCAAAGTGGGAAGTGTGAAACAAACCTACTGCTTAAATGATAAAGGTTTTATAATTAAGTAATTTAAAGGGATTTCATTTCCAAATAAATGAACACACAGGCACACATGCAAATGCATGTATTTAGAGGTATAGTACTCAAAAAGAATTTTAGAAAGAACACTAATAGAAGTGAAAAGTATTTAATTAAAATGTATTTATTTTCCACATTCAAAACAGAATCATAGCTAGCAGTTATGTGTTTGTACTCAAATAGTTTCATGAATAAAAGGTAAGCATCTTAAAAGGTGCTAAACATCATTAGAAATCATGAAAAATGTAAATTAAAACCATAATGAAATACCACTGTACATCCACTAAAATGGCTAAAATTAAAGACAGACAAAAGTGTTGACAAGGATGCACAGACACTAGAACTGCTGGTGAGAATGTAAAATGGTACAATCACTTTGGAAAAAAGTGTGATAATTTAAAAAATACACATCACTTACCATATGACCCAGCAATTCCATTCCTAGGTATTTACCAAAGAGAAACAAAAACATATGTCCACACAAAGACTTGTACGTGGAGATTCATAGCAGTTTTACTCATGATAGTTGAAAACTGAAAACAACCCAAATATCTAGCAACAGGTAAATGGATAAACGCACTATGGTATATGCATACAATACCACTCAGCAAAAAAGGAAGCAGACTACTGATTTACACAACATGGATGAATATCCAAAACCTTACACTGAGCAAAACAAGCAAGACACAAAGTGTACATACTGTATGATTCCATTTATAGGAATTTCTAGAAAAGACAAAACTAATTTATAGTGACAGAAAATAGATCAGAGGTTGCATAGGGAAGGGGACTGACTGGGAAGGGACATGAGAAAAACCTAATGGCATGGAAAGGCTGTCTGTCTTAACTTTGGTGATATTTCAAAGGGATATACATATGTAAACAATCACTGATTTGACCATTAGGGATTTATACAGACAAACAGATTTTCAAGTGATTAATGTGAAGTTTTAAAAAAATTAAATTTTAACTTATGGAAGGGTAGAAAATTTATATAGAGAATAAAAGACCACTTGGCATGTTGAGTGGATTTAAACAATATGATCTTTAATGTTCTTCCTAATCCTGAGATATTCTGGCCATTATTAATGGAAAAATATCATTAATTATTAGCTTTCTATATTAAAATGGCCCCTTCACATTTTTAACAGGGTTTTTTATTATGTTAGCTTATAGTAACAAACAGAAAAGTGTATTGCAAGTCAAGACTCCCTATATTCATGTGCTTTAAGGTAATAAAGAAGAAAATATGAATAAAAATAGTATATCCTGAGGAAGATCTTACCAGTTGTGCAGCCAAGACACTTGAGAACTCGCTATTCATGGCATATGGAAGTGCTGTCTGTGCCCTTGAGCCATAAGTTGTCTGGAACCTCTTCTTTACCTCATTCAAAAAATTGAAGGCTCGGGAACGTTCAAAATCCTGGAAGGCACCCAACATAGAGCTTGTATTTACAAAGTAAATAAAGATTATGTGGATGATTAGCAATAAAACAATAAAAAAGCAGTAATATTTATTGAGTAATGACTATAAGGAGAACCTAGCACTGATCCCATTTTATAAATAAGGAAGAAAAACCTCTGAAATGATAGCTAACTTGCTGAAGTTCCAACAACTAGCAAATGAAAGAGGTGAGAATCAAATCCAAATATGTCTGTCTGGTTATTACCAGCAGAAGATAATGGTTCCTAGGTTATCAACTTCTTGAGGTCAGAAATTAGGTTTTACTTCCTCCATATCTTTCATCTATTAGAAAGTCCAGCATAAGAATATGTTCAATAAATTCATAATAATAATAGTCTTTCAAAGATAACACTATTGATAGGAACTTTGAATTGATATTTTCTAATAGTGGTTACACATTTGAAAGGGTCAAGTGACCTACACTTGTCTAGTTCCAGTCAGTCAAAAAGTGTATTTGTACGTGTATGCATGTGTGTGTGTGTGTGTGTGCATGTGTCAGCATGTAGACAACTATAGCTCATGGAATATAAGGTTCAAATCTGACCATTCCAGGCCTTCTGATATTTCCATCTACTCCAAGCTTTCACATCATTTACTTCAGATATATTTGTATTTTTTCTAATTTTAGAAAACACTGTGAAACCAAGGCTAAAAATCACTGTGATGATCACTGTGGTTGACAATCATTTCCATTTCACCCAAGATACTTAGTCATAGTCAAGGGTTCTTAAACTGGGATCAGTAGACAAAATTCAAGGGGCTACCGGACTTAGATAGAAAAAAATTGCACTATTATTTTCCCTAAACTTTAACTCAAATTTCAATTGTCAACGTAGGTAACCAGAGTAGTATTAAATTGTAACTTTGTCACCTATAGAAATCTTTGTTTTTCATATACCATCACAGGTTTCTAGATATCTTGAAATATCATTTACACTCATCATCATTTCAAAATTATTATTAGCTATTAGACCCACAGCAAAGTCTTAATAATGAGTTCTTAGAGTATCCATATTAATATATTTTTAAAAAAATATCCTGAAGGGGCTGGGGTTGTGGCTCACCGGTAGAGCACTTGCCTCACATGTGTGAGGCTCTGGGTTCAATCTTTAGCACCACTTAAAAAATAAATAAACAAAATAAAGGTAATTGTGTCCACTTGCAACTGAAAAAAAATTTAAAAATCCTGAATAGTTTGTGTGTGTGTGTGTGTGTATTTTGTTTTCAATATATTTGGTTTTGTTTGGAATCATGTGTGTCTATTTCATTCATTTAATGACATTCTGAGCAGGGCTCACAGGTGACAAAGGAGTCTGTGACAATAAAGATTAGGAACACTGATCTACAGCAATCATGCCAATTTCATGACTCTACTCAGTGAACAGTTTAAAAATGAGCATGTGAACAGTAAGACATGAAAGTAAGCTCACTTTCAAAGTGAGATGAGGGGACGGTATGCCTCTAGGAAAAGTTTTCTCATTCCTACAATAAGAGAAACAAGTATATAGTCCATCTTCTCTGTATATGAATACATAAGCACGTAGCTCCATGCAACCCTAAGGGGAACCTGTCTAGAAAGAAACTGACACTGAGGAAAGCAGAAGAGAGAAAGATTCTTGATGACATCATTAAGTTACTGAGTATTTTGGGTCTAGAGCCAACAAATACTCAAAAAAGAAAAAAAAAAAAAAACTAACCAATGTAAAAATACAAGTTTACATAGCCGATCATAATGTGTTGTGATTCTATTTTTCCAAAGTCTAGGTACATTAAAAATTCATTAACTACTTGAGGAATGAAATAATCTTTTTAATATTCCAGTTGAACAATTTTTGAGAAACTCTGATGCCAAAGAATCATAATTATAAAACCAATTCTCATTACACAATAGGATAAATGTAGAAGCTACAAGAGATTAAGTTAGAACTATACCAAAACTGAACTGATTTGTACATACCCAGGTTATCAAGTTTTGTCACATGCTGCTGTATATGACAAATGAAAAGTATTGAAAAAATTTCCAGCAATGCCAAGTTTGCATCACTGTTACCCATCATAGGTATATGTAATTAAGAACTGACTATATTAACAGTACACATAGTTAAATAGCAATATGTCTTTAAGTTACTTACATCATCAGTGATACAAAGATATACAATCCTGTCTTGGCAGATGTAATGAAACAAATAACTGTAGAATAAAAGATATAAAACTTACTGTAGTTATAAGCAACACTTTTATCTTCTATGTATGTATAAGTAATTTCAGTACTGCCAATACCACATTATTTACAGATTCAGTCTATTCTCCTCTTCCCGTCCCCCCATACATCTGTTCCTCTCAAGTTAAACTGAATAAGAAATTAAAAGAAGGTCTTAACTGTAGCTTCACAGTAAAACGGCATGTGGATTAGCCTTGTGCAAAAACATAATTGGTACCTTAAGACTGGAATAAGAAATGACATATGTGAAGGGACACATGATTAAAATTAAGTCCCAATGGACCATATAGTTTTCCTTTCTTTTTCTTAATATTGCAAAACAAATTCTCAACATTTGAATATCGACTTTGAGCCAGTTACTATGCTACATGTTGAAGATACAAAAGAGAAAACCATCAGTTCCTGCCTTCTTAGGCATCACAGGGCATGGAATTACAGTGCTGCATGGAAAACAGGATGATGAGGAAGTTAAAGGAGTATATAGAACTCTGGGGACATAGAAGAAGCACATAATGGAGATCTGCCCAAGAGTTAAAGAGAATTATTCTTGGAAAATGAGATGTCTGTTCTTAGACCTAAAGAATAAATAAGAGATGATAAGGTAAAGAGTCAGTGAAGAGTGTTCCAGAGTGAAGCAGAAAGTATAAAGGCCTAATGGGCTAGGTTTGTGGCTTAGTGGCGGAGCACTTGCCTAGTATGTGTGAGGCACTGGGTTCAATTCTCAGTACCACATGTAAATAAATAAATAAACAAACAAACAAACAAATAAATAAAATAAAGGTATTGTGTCCATCTACAACTAAAAAAATTTTTTTTTTTTTAAAAAAGAAAGGTATAAGAGCCTGGAAATAAAATAGCACATAATAGATACAGGAAAGTAAAATTCATTCATATAACTAGAATACAGAATGTATAGAAAAAATATAAATTGTCTGGATATTTAAGATGCTGGAGAAACAAACACCAGGCTATACAAGACTTTATAAACCACACTGTACATTATATAATGCACAGTCATCCAAAGTAGAGCCTGGGGAGAATATGATCAGATTTGCTGATGATTCCCAAATCCAGATCTGACCTATCTCCTGAGCTTTAATCCTAATACACTACTGTCTATTAGACATGACCCAACTGGATATACCACAGAGAACTTAAAACAGGTCTTAAAATGGAAGTCATCATTTCCCCCCATAAAATTAGTCTCTCCTAAACTAGACTTGGGAATAACTTGGTATACAAGCCATGAGAGATATCAAGATATGATCCCTACCATCAAGGATCCTATAGTTAGGGGACAGAGACAATCAAAACTGCAATTATAAGTGTGATAAGTGCAACAATTTGAATAAATACTAAATGCTATGTAGATATACAAAAAGGAATCATCTAACCTAGTCTGGTGTTTAGGAGTTTCTAGATATCTAAACTCAGGAAGACAAAAGCAGATTTTAAAAAGCCTACATATGATAGGGACTGGAGGTATAGTTTAGTGATAAGAGTGCTTGTCTATCATGCATGAGTCCCTGGGTTCAATCCCCAGCACCACTAAAAAAGTAAGTATGATAAATATACTCCAATAAAAGGTAACAGGTATTATAAAGGCTAGGAATAGAGAAGGAACCTAGCACTGAACTATAAATTGCTAAGTATGGCTGCAGGATAAAAATGAGGACTAAATTAGTAAAAAACAAGGCCAGAGAAAGGAAAAGGGCCAGATTCAGAAAAATTTCCCAAATAATGTTAAGGAACTTTACCCTAAGGGCAGGGAGTGCCTGCTAAAGGAAGGGACATGATCAGAATTGCTCTTTCAGACAGATTAAAAAGTATTTCAGGGGCTGGGGATGTGGCTCGGGCGGTAGCGCGCTTGCCTGGCATGCGTGCGGCCCGGGTTCGATCCTCAGCACCACATACTACAAAGATGTTGTGTCCACCAAAAACTAAAAATAAATATTAAAATTATCTCTCTCTCTCTCAAAAAAAAAATATTTCATTTGGGACCTATAGAATGAGCAAAAGTTTACCAGAGGGCCTATAAGGGAAAAGACACTTGCAGAACATATAAAATCATGAAAAAAATGTACCAATGATTGAAATAACACTAAGTCAGGAAATGGCAAGAATTCTTATATAGATAATAAAAAAAGGTCAGGAATGGACAAAATTGCACAGGATTCCATATGCTTTCCCCTGAGCATTTTCCTGGGAATTAACTATAAATACACACTAATAGGTTTTTGAAGAAACTACAAAACTGTACTCATAAGAGGCTGGGGCTATTTAACCCTCACAGCAAGAAAGTATCATCAAGGGAATTTGAACTACAGATTTAAGGTAGGAGCAACCAAAAGCAAGAAGACCAGTCAGGAGAAAGCTATCTGAAATGACAAATAACGAAGGCCTAAATTAACATTGTGACAATGGGATAGAGGAAACATAATGGATTGAAAAACATGTTGTAGGAGAATGGTAAGGAACTGGTAAAGAAGTTAAATATTATTCTAAAGTTTTAGGGTTAGTCAACTGAGTGGCTAGTGATGTTGTTACAGTAAACAAGAATAGATTTCAGGGGAAAAGTGTTTAACATACAGTAATAAATGATATTTTATTGAGATGATGGAACATGATTATAGGACAGAAACCAAGTCACCAGTTTTAAAAAAAGAAATCTCAGTGATAGAGCCTCACCTCAGAGGATACAAGGGAGAACTGAATCAGGACACAGATGAGAGGCAGACAGATAGTATTTTCTTCTACTAAAATTTACATTCTAATTGGATTATGTATTCTTAGCTTCCCTTGTAGCTACATGTAGCTATGTTATTAAGCTCTGGCACATAATATTATGAGTGAAAGATATATGCCCTACTTCTAAAAGGATTCCATATGCTTTCCCCTGAGCATTTTCCTGGGAATTGACTATAAACACACACTTTGTAAGCCTAATAAGTTTTTGAAGAAACTACAAAGCTGAACTCATAAGAGGCTGGGGTTATTTAACCCTTACAACAATCTCTGGGCCCCTAAACCCACAATGCAGAAAGCAGACTACAAAACCTATACAGTTCCTGAAAATGACACATTCTCCAATATCCATTCTGGATCTGGCAAAAAGACAATAGACTAGGAAGAACCTCCTGGAGAACAAATGCGGGAGTCAGGGAGAAAGAAGAACCACTAATCACTCCCCAGTCAGAACAGAGAGTCTTTGAAATTTCTGTGAAGCAGTTATCTGATCATTGACAGGAGGCAATAGCTTCTACATATTTCTTTCTCTTCTATTTCCCAAATGAAAGTTTTTAACTCTCACTCTGGTGATTCTTTTCTTATTTCACCATTGTTTATAGTATTGGGCTGGGAGAGAAGGTGAAACATATGACTTATTATTTAGTTTACAGTCTGTGAGCCACAGGAGCAACCCCTGGGCCTGATGGAGAGGACCAAGTATTACCCCAAATCTCTGGACTAAGAACAAAATGCAACAACCAGATGAGTCTTTACAGTTACATTTCTCAGAGAAGAGGCATATTCTATGTTTGAAAAGAGGAGTTCACTCAGATATTTGTATGGTTGTAGGAGTAGAATGGAAGACTAAAATCCATTTTCTGATATCTTTAAGTTCCTCTAGAGTCATGGAGCTTTAGCCGAGATTTTGACCACACAGACAGAGATGATATCTCCTGGTCTCCCTCTTAGCTGAGTTACCTACATGACTACACAGTGTACAATAAAATGTCAGGCCACTTCTGGGCCTTACCTTTAAAAAATATTGGAAAAGCACTGAGTTATAAGAAAAGCTGAAAGAAGCTGCTTTTTCAAGAGTTGGAAGGCACTGATTGAGAATGGCAGAGCCATCCCACCAGCTCTGAACCACTCACCTCTGAACTATCTTATTTAAATTAATTCTACATCTTGGGGTCTCTCTCATAATAGTTTAGATTGGACTATAAATTATAAAAGTGGTTAGCCATAGAAAGTATTAAGGATCTCCTTCTGAAATAAGAACTAAGGAAATAAGGATGGGTTAAGTAACAAAAGATTTTTAAGCATCAATGAGGAAGGTTTACCAAGATTTCCCATTTATGTCCTTTCAACAAGCCACCAATACATTTTTCTAAAGCAAAAGCTGTCATAACTGACTGAAAACTTTTGATGCCTTCTGGCTGTCCATACTCTTAACATGCCCTACAAGGCCCTACATGACTTTTCTTCTACCCATCTTTCTGGATTTATCTTTACCATCCTGAGTACCAATCACAGAATAATAACATGCGGTTCCCAAAATATGATCTCATGTCTACATGCTTCTCTACCTGCTATTCCTTCTACCTGAAATGCCATTACCTACTAATCTCTAATATAATCGTGGATTGACCATCTCCCTCATTAAACTCTAATTTCATTGAGGGAAAATACTGCCTTTCTTGTTGTTTCCCCATCACCAAGCAAAGTACCTATCAATAGTTAAGGACTCAGTAAATATTTACTTAAAGAATAAATAAGAAATATTATTTATTTTATATATACCATTTTACCTATCCAAGAACTCCATAACAAAGAGATTTTTATGTTTAACATTTTCATATCTTCCTTTAAAATAGTAATATCACTTCAATGATAGAATAAAAATAATCACAAGTTAAAAATATAAATAATAAAGTCAGATATTTTCGAAGCTGGTGAAAGTTACTGTTCTATGAGTGTACTCAGGTTAAACTACCTAGAAGCTTGCTTTCTAGTTTTCTACTATTCTGATTAGAGCAGAATTCCTTTCTTTCACCCTCTACCAGATGTAAAGCAGAACTCACTTGCCATGTGAGTATGTTAATTTGTTATTTTCAGAAGGTATCTTAGCCAGAATCTGCTCTGTCACCTCCAGGAAGTTTCCTCCACACCAAGCATGTTTGGCAAGGATAGTGGTTCCCCTGGCAACAACAGCAAAAAGAATGGCCATGGTGTCAATCTATTAAAAGGAAAAAAAGACAGATTTAGAATATTTTTGACATGATCTTTCAAAAGTAACTTACTATCATTTATCAAAATATACCTAGAGACAATACTGAATGCAGTACTAGAACATGAAAATTAACAAAAGACCTAATAGGAGCTGGGGGCAGAGCTCTGTGGTAGAGTGTGTACCTGGCATGTACAAGACCCTGGGTTTGATCCCCAGTACCCCTGCTCCTGAAAAAAAAAAAAAAACACCAAAAAAAAACAACCCCAAAACAAAACAAAACAAAACAAAAATCCAAGGTCATAGTCTTCTACAAGCTTACAACCTAAGCCATACTGATATGCACATAAGAATGATAAGTTTTTTGAAAAGCAATGACCAACGATAGCAAAAGGACATAAAGATGTCTTCATACTTTAACATAATGATCCCTTCCTGAAAATTTATCCTAGGGAACCAGTTTAACAAAAGTTAGACTCTAGATTCAAAAATGTAGATATTAAAAACAATAGCCCACATTTATTAAATGTTCACTATATGACAGGCAACAGTTTTAAGTACTTTAAATTATTATTATTTTTGGTACCAGGGATTGAACTCTCAAGAGCACTTGACCACTGAGCCACATTCCCAGCCCTATTTTGTATTTTATTTAGAGACAGGGTCTCAATGAGTTACTCAGTGCCTCGCAGTTGCCGAGGCTGGCTTTGAACTCATGATCCTCCTGCCTCAGCCTCCCAAGCTGATGGGATTACAGGTGTGAGCTACTGCACCCCGTGCTTTAAATTATTAATTAATTTAATCCTCCTAACTCAATATGATTATATAATATTACAATATTCCTATTATAGATGAGGAAACTGAAGCACAGATGACTTACATAATTTCCCCAAAATTACAGCTAGTAAGTGATAGAGCTATGACATACTCTGAGGCAGTATGATTTCAGAAAATACAATGTTAGACTATGGTATACTACCTCTAGTATAAAGGCATTATCTGTAATAGAAACAAAGTGAAAGTAACCGAAACCTTTCACAAAAAAGAAATGGTTTTATAAATTATGGTAATATCTTGTATAAACAAAAAATTCCTAAAACAATATGGCATGAGTTTATTTTCCTTATGTTTGGCTGTACATATGTGCTATCCCCTCCCCCAACAAGAGACCAGTTTCCCTTATTTAATGGCATAAACTTATAGACATGAATAAACACCTTATTAGTCTTCAATTTACTCTTCAGCCTCATGTTATCTGTTAACATGTTTATTTCCACCCAACAGGCCAGTGGTTCTCAAACTGTAGTGAGGGTATGAATCACCTTGGGTGGCAGAATGAGAGCCACTTCTAAAACTCAAATTCTTGGCATCATCTCCTAAAATTCTGATTCTGTAAGCTTTAGGTGGGACCCTGGAATCTGTATCTGAAACAGTCTTGTCTGAATGCAGGTAATTCATACTTTGTAAACACAGGAGAGAATGCTTGGGGCCAGGGAATCTGCAGATTCCTGACTGGAATTCCAGTACCAAAGGGCAGTAAATAGAAGGAGGCACCCATCTGTCTCTTCAGCTAAACTCCTCTTGTGTTCTCCATTCTATTTTCTTTTTTTATAATTTTTACTTTGTTATAAATGACAGCAGAATGCATTACAATTCATATTACACATATAGAGCACATTTTTTCATATCTCTGGTTGTATACAAATATATTGACACCATTCATGTCTTCATACATGATCCTAGGGAAATAATGTCCATCTCATTCCACCATCTTTTTTTACAACCCTTGCCCCCTCCTTTCCCCTCCTTTCAATCTTATTTTCTAAATGAAGTTGATCCTCAGGATCATGGCCTCAATCATCTTTTACTGGAATTCTCCTTACATATATGTAGCAAGCTATAGTTTCCAAATCACTGTCTCATACTTTTTCACCTTTGATCCTTAAATCTCCCTTAACCATATAACATGTTCCAGTATCCAGTACCTATTTCTTAACATTTTTTTTTTTTTGGCACTAGGGATTGAATCCAGGGGCACTTAACTACTGAGCTACATCCACAGCCCTTTTTCGCAATTTATTTAGAGACAAGGTCTCACTGAGTTGCTTAGGGCAACTAAGCCAAAAAAAAAACCCTCGCTACATTGCTGAGACTGGCTTTGAATTCATGACCCACCTGCCTCAGCCTCCCAAGCCACTAGGATTACAGGCATGCACCATTTTAACTCTTCAACTTACAATACTCTGGCTTTTGCCTTGGCACTCCACAGAACCATGCTTCCTAAGATAATCAACAGCCTCTATATTGCAAAACACAGCACTCACTTCTCTATTCTCTTTCTACTTGGCTTTCCAGAAATAGTCAACACCATTAACCAGTCCTCCTTCTTGAAACACTCTACATCTCCAGCTGCTTTTTCTGTCTTCTTGATGACTTTCTCCTCTCTCTAGTAAATTTTGAGTTTCCCAGGAATAAAGAATATAAGTTACAGAGACACAGTGTTTTAGTCAATAAAAGTAGTTCCCAATTACAAATCACTCTTTGTTGGTACACAGCAAAAGAAACCTAACTTTCCTTTTATATGTCATTAATATAAAAGGAGATCCTTCCCCTGTCCTATACTATCAAACATCCCACCTATAATCAAGTCTCACCTGCCTGCAATGAAACACTCTTGAAGTTGAATGTGTAACATCTTTATGAGTATTGAAATAAGAGAAACAACAATGTCAGAAAGAATACTGTATTTGAAGTCACAAAATCTAGCTCTGCTAATTATTAGCAATATATGAATGCCTAAAACTACAGAGTGCTATATAAATATAATACTTATGAAGAAAAAGAATGAAAAGATAAGCCAGAGAGAAGAAAAAAGATAATGAAATATAAAAGAAAGCCCTGTTTCAACACTGTTCCTCCCTGTTTTCTTATTCACTCCTCACTTGGTCCAAGAGCCATCTTCCCAATTATACTTCATTCCTGCTAATAATCTTCTATTAGTTAGTTTCCTGTGGCTGCTATAACAAAGTACCCCAAAATGTGTGGCTTAAAACAAAAGAAATTTATCCGCTCACAAAGGCCAGAAGTTTAAAATCAAGGTATTGGTAGGGCTATGATCTCTCTGAAATCTGTAGGGGAGAATCTGTCTTTGTCTCTTTCTAGTTTCTGTTAGTTTGCTGGCAATTCTTGGTGTTCCTTGGCTGGTAGCTACAGTACTTTTATCTCTACCTCAGTAGTCAAATAACACTAAAATGTATAAGACTATTCTAGATCATAAATATGTATACATTATAAATAAGCAAAGACACACAATTTAGGGCTGCATTTGTGTTCATGACTATGAAGGCAAAGGTGCCAAAAAATGCCCCTAAATGATAAGGCTTAATTTTTAATGTCTTAGAAACATGTCTGGCTGATCTTAGGGTGATACATTCCTAAAATCATAAAGCAATCATGACTCAAATACTCTTATATTCCTGTCATATTTTTAAAACAGTTTAAAAGTTGTGGTCAGTAGTAATAATTTACAATTGAAAGATATTACATGAAATAAGACTTTAATTTCATTTTTAGAATTGAGTCTTTTATCTAAGACTCTGAAAATGAAAGTATAGCAGAGTAACATTAAATTCTCTCAGACTAGGGCTGGGGTTGTGGCTCAGCAGTAGAGCACTTGCCTAGCATGTGCAGGGTTCTGGGTTCGATCCTCGGCCCCACACACACAAAAAAAGGGTATTGTGTCCAACTACAACTAAAACAAAAATATTCTTAAAAAATTATCTCAGACCTAGGAGAAAATAGTACTCAAAGATGCATTTGTATCTAGTGAAAAACAAATTATACTATATGTGGTGTATGAACAAAGGTTGTGCAACTGTTCAAAGAAACAGAATTTAATTAATCATATAGCACATGGTAATAGTCAATGAAAAACCAAAGAAAGCATTCTGTATTACTATATTATTAAAAGGAGATATGTTAATTCTTACAACAGTTCATTGCAGAAAGTTTCAGAGGACATATACAATGGAAATTAAGGGTTTTTTTCTATCTTGTATCATGAGCATACTATTAAATTAGTTGCCCTACTAAATTAATGAGTGGGGCACAAAATACTCTGGAAAGAGATAAAAAACTCATTTTAGAAGGGATGCATGAAACAAGAGAAGGCATGAGGTGAAAAAAAAAATTAAGGAGAGTAAATAAACCAATCTGATGGGATGGAAGAAAGCACATTTGGTGAACAAAAAGGTTGAGGAATAAGGTTGATGGCTTAATATAGAGAAGACTTTGTATAAATCAAGCTATTTGAATTTGATTAAATGAGGTCTGTTTCAATTCATTACATATATACCAATGGTTTACTATATGACAGCCAAAGTAGTAGAACTGCCATTCAAAGGTGAGGAAGAAGGGACTACTATACTTAATGGAACCATAATATAATGAGGAATAGACATGAAAAAGACAGATAAACCATAAATTCTGATGTTATAATGTTAGAGAAGACATAAAAAATGAAGAACAAGGGCTGGAGTCCAGTGGCAGAGCACTTGCCCAGCATGTATGAAGCACTGAGTTTGATTCTTAGCACCACATAAAAATAAATAAAATAAAGGCATTTTGTCCATCTATAACCATAAAAAATATAAAAAAGAAGAAGGAACACTGGTATGATAGGGAGACAGATGAGGTGTTTAAAGTGCAGTCACAGATCAAAACTATCTTATTGGTATCAAAAATATTCTTTTTGGACAATGGTTGAGACTGAACCCAATCCCTCTTACTTTCTGAGGATAAGACTATCCAGTCAAGTCAAGCACATATTTTATTTTGTATTAAACAATTTAAAACATCACTTTGATTTTTCCCCCTGCCTATCAAATATGCAAATTTGTGACAGTAGCAATTTCTTATGTCTTGTTTACAGCTAGCCATAATGCCCACCCTTATTAGAGTGTCTAGCATATATCGGCTGTTCAATAAATATTTGTTACGTGTATGAATGAACCTGGCCTCAGCCACAGTTATTGAAAGTGAAAGAATTGTGTAAAACATGATAGTGATAGTAGTTTCTGGGTTTAAAGATGGGAGAATGGTGGTACAAGTAGTAGATGCCAGTTAATAAGGCAGAATGAAAATGAATTGGTAACTGATTGGTTGTGGAAATTATGGGAGAGGGAGCTATGAAGTATTGATCAAAGAGTAAAGTACATGATCAATTTGATAGATATTGGTCATCAACAAAAATTACAATAACATACATCTCTGACGCTGAGAAAATAGGTCTGGGAAGAGAAATAGGTCTTACTCAAACTGAGCTATGTCAACACTGGGAGATGTAGGAAGGGCTCATGGGGTAAGAGTTGACAAAGGAGCAAGATCAGCCCGAAAAAGGTGAAGCAGAAAGTGACGTCATCGAACAAGGGTATAAAGAGTTTTTAGAAGACTGGCGATTTCAAGAGAGTGAGATACTACAGAAAGGTCTTGCACAACGGTAATTAAGGGATAAAGTTAACATTTCCTAACCCATAATGACAACTTAATTGACACATTCTGACATTCTTAAACTCGAGGCCTTTTCAGCAACATAAAACAAAAACAAGGCACTTCGCCCAAACTGGATGTGCCCGACAATTCCAACTGCCGACATAGAGAAACCTAAGTCACCTTTGCAATGCCTCCTCGCACCATTCAGCACCTTCCTGTCTATACCTTCTCCCTCCCTTCCTCCGAGGTTTCCTCCCTCCCGCAGGGCACGCCCCACTCCATTTACCAGTCCGGCAACTTGTAAAGGCAACCGAGCTCGAGACCAAGAGGATCGGGCGGCTCTGGGTTGCTGTCTGCCGGTACACGGAGGATAGGACCGGACGCTGCTGACTTCCGTGTAAAGCGCCCCGCCTACGCGTGGGCTCCTGGGAGCGTAAGCGCTCCTCCAATGGGAGCAGGCGGTATGGTTCTGCTGTGTTCCAAGCCTCTGGCACTTCCCCGGAGCCGTACTGCATTCCGGGAGTGGTAGTTCTGACTGGAGTGTCGTGGGGTCTGTCATACATTGTGTCTGCAACAATTGTGGTAACGTCAAACGCTATATAATAATCCATGGAAACGAGCGGATACAAAGCAACAAAAAGAATCTACGAGCACTGAATTAGGGTTTACTGTCAGCAAATCGCCTGTTGCTTCACAAACATGAATTCATCTGACAGGAACTCCCTCTACTTTTGCCATGAAAATTTCTAACTTTCTTGTCTTCCTCACCATTTCTTTCTCCCATTCTTTTGCAATAACGACAACTACTTTCCTTTGCTCTAAGTTGGCCCCTTTATATCCGTTTTCCCTCTTTCCAACACAGTCTAGCTCCATTGATGAACCCCTCATTTTCATCATCCCTCATGGACTACCTACTTATTTGGGGTTTTTTCTTAGCAGCATTTGAAGACTGTCAAAATTCCTCTTACCTATACCATTCCATGCTATACATTGTCTATAACATTCCAAAGTCAAATTTCTCATTTTATAAGCTTGAGAAATACAACGTTTCTTGGAAATTTATCTTTATTATTCCTTCGATACTTCCTTTCCTTTTTTATTATTATCTTTCCTTTTCTCATATTCCAGTTATCCACATGCCAGCATCTAATTCTATTATTAACACCTCCTAAACTTCGTTTTATATTTTTTCATTGTTCTGTCCCTTACCATTCTTGGAGATTTCCTCAATCTTCCATTTCACAAATTCATTCTGCAGTCATTCTATTATCCCATCTATCTTTACTTTTATTTTAACATAATCTTTTCATTTAGTTGTTTCTGTATCATCTTACTCTTTTGTTATTATGTTTATTATGCTTCTAAAAATTATTGTTGGTACCTATTTCAATATTTATGTAATCAACGACCTAGTTTTTCTTTTGAAAAACGTATGCTGCTTACATGTTATTGACCCATGAGCCTTTATTCTACCTACTTACTTGAAAATATCCAAAGTCCAGAACTCTTTCAGATACAAAGAGCTAGACAAATTGACAGGAGTACAAATGAGCCTCACTGTAGACAATTCTACCTCCAGAAATGCAAATAATCATTCTTCACCCCATGAGACATCTGCTCAACTCTCAGCTCTCTCCTCAGCTCTCCAAGAAAGAAACTTTAGGAGAAGGTACACCAAATACTGTATTTTACTACCTTTGTGGTTTTGAAGAGGAGGATTCGATTGGTAAAGTAGCTATTAGTGATGCTTGTTAATCCCCACTTGTTTTCCTCACCTCACCTTTGCAGACTTTTTGTGCTTCCTTGATTTTACTCCCAAGAATACCTGTATCAGATATCTGAGTTATTTATTTTAAATACCACTATGTAATCTTCTATTTTGAACCAACACAGACAACACACTCCCAAAGCTACAGAAGTAGGATATCGAACTTCTTCCCTCCAAAAAATAAGCTCAACACTATAACTTGGTATTTTCCCCAGCTTCCCTACTCTAATATCCCAATATGGGAATTGGGAAGCTTTTCAATCATAGTGAAGTATAATTGTAATTTACAACTTTTAGGAAATATAGATCTTTCTAAATAAGAGGAAACAATTTTTTTCTGACCTCATTGGTGATAGCTTTGTATATTCAGACGTGGAGTTCAGTTTGAAAGTAGGAGCTGGGAAATCTTTAAAAAAACATGCTCTCCTTGGGCCAATCAACTATACTTAGGGAAGAAGGAACATGTAAAAATCTCAAATCATGTGATTGGAATAAGAAGAAGGAGAGTTTCCAGAATAAGGGTAGTACTGCAAACGAAAACAATAGATATTCATTGAACCTGAATTGTTTATTCCAGTTTTTAATTCCTTTTTTTTAAAAAATGGAAGTATTCATCTTATTCATTTGTAAGAAACTTTTATATGTATTTAGGACATAAACCCCTCAGATGTTTGTTATGTTGCAAATGCCTTTAACATTGTTAATATTTTATCTTAGTTACAGTACTTTAAAGAAATTTTAGGTTTTACGTAATCATATATATTATATCCATCTTTTCCTTGATGCTTAGGGGAAAAGGCCTATATCAATATTCTGACACTTTCGCCAAGGTTTTTTGCTTTCATTCTTATGTTTAACTCTTTTTTCTACCTGTTTTATATTTTGATGTATGCTTATAAGAAAATTATCAAATTTTATTTTTTACTATATTTTATTGAACTATTTTGCAATTAATTTGAAATGATTTATTATATAGCAAGTTTTATTATATAGCAAGTTTTTATGTATAGCTGCATCTATTTCTTCTATTATTGGTTTCTAGTCCTTCACTGGTAACAAATGTTCTAATTACTGCAGCTTTATAATGTTTTAATATCTGAAAGGGCAAAACACTCCCTAGTATTTGTTATTCAGAATGATGTTGGCTATTCTTGTGCATATATTTTCTATGTGAACATAAGGATCATTGTATCAGATCCCTCTCCCCAAATAATCCTATTTGGCTCTGAATAGAAACTGTATTAAACCTGAAAATTAAATTGCAAAAAATTAAAAATCTAATGACATTGAAATATTACAATCCTGAAAGCTTATGACATTTCCCCTTCTAGGAACATGGAGGTTGGTTTGTTCATGCAAGTATTTTTTTAAGTCCTTTAGTAAGCTTTTAAAATATTACATTTTCTAGTATTATACAGATTCTTGTTTTGTATCATATTATTATGTTTCTTAAAGAGTTTACATTTTCAGCATATATTCTAAATGGTTATTATTTATTTGATGGAAAACTATATATTTTAAATTTTATTTTTACCACAACATATTACTTTACTCTCATGTTCCAATGGGTTTTTTCCAGTTAATCGCCTTGAATTTTAAAATTACAAATAGACAAGAGTGAAATTTATAAATAAAGTATTTCTATAAAGTATGTAGTATGTATAAAAATGCTGCTCTTTCTGGTCAGTATTTGTAAGTCTTATTTATTTTTAAGGTTTTATATTATTTATTTGTTTATTTAGGTACTGAGGATTGAAACAAGAGCTTAGCATTCTTACCACTGAGCTACACCTCAGCTCTTTTTCACCATTATTTTGAGACAGGGTTTCATTAAGTTGCTCAGGCTGGCCTTGAACTTATGATCCTCCTGCTTCAGTCCCGCTAGTAGTTGGGATTATAGGTATGCATCCACATGCTTGGCTCTACGTTTTATTTCTTTTTCTTGTTCTACTGCATTGAAAATTACTTGCAGAATTATGTTATGTTGATAATGGTCATCCTTCTCTTGTTTCTAAGAATGAGTATTGGTTCCAGATATACGATTTGTATCATGTTCAGGAAATATCCTTTTACCATAGTTTCCTGAGGTCTAAAAAAATCTAGTTATGGATGCTCAATTTTGTCACATAATTTTTAGATACATTTTATGAGGAATTATTTTTAAACCTATAGATCAAATAGTTTATATAATAAATTTTCTGGTATTGAATTATTTTTTATTCCTGGCATAAATTGTGTTTAGTTGTGATATACTCAATTTGCTACCATTTTTAAAAAATTTTTATCCTAAGGTCATAAGTGATGTTATTCAGTAACTTTATAATATGCATTTTTCTTTGAATTTTGATATTTATTTCATTCAAAATTAGGATGATCTTCTGGAACTGTTAAAAATATCATGACAATATTTATTCCATGCAGGCTTTTAATAATATACCTGATAAACCTTATTTTCCATTAACTTAATTTCTTCCATTTTTTTATCTATTTAAACTTTGGGGTGGGATACCAGGATTGAACCCAGGGGGCCTTAACCACTGAGCCACATCCCACCCCTTTTTATATTATATTTAAAGACAGGGTCTTGTTAAGTTGCTGAGGCTGGCTTTGAACTCCCAATCCTTTCTCCTGCCTCAGCCCCCTGAGCCAGCCACTGGGATTACAGGCATGTGCCAACACACCTGGATTCTACTAGAATTTTAAAATTTCTCCTATAATCAATTTAGTACTTTCTTCTAGATAATCTTTTTTTTCAAGTTATTTTTAAGTGTCACCAGTGATATTTGTTAGGTTTTCACCTTGTGAAATTTTCATGTTATACCTACTTCCCTTGAACATTGTGTAATTCTTCTGTCTCTCATTGTTCTTGAACAGACTTACTAAACACAGCAAATTGATAGCTATGTACCATAATCTGCATTCTGTTTTTTTTTTCTGGGCACAAAAATAGACTACATTTTCCAGACCTTCTTGCTGAAGTAGACAGACAATTTAGAGTAATTATATGAGTTTTGGCCAATGGTATGTGTGACATTTGCAGATCTGACATTTAGGAATTTTCCATGTACACTCCTCAATGTTTGTTTCTCCTTTCAGTGGACAAAAAATGAGATAACCAGTGCAACTTTGGGTGCAATTTATTGAAGACTGAAGAGCCCTGAATGACCATGTAGAAGCAAAGCATCCCTTGCCTACTAAGCTCATCCGCCTTATACTATTATATGAATGAGGAACTTTAAGTGTGCTTGAACCAGTAAACATTTTGAGGTCTGTTTGTTTCTAATACCCTCAATAATTTTTTTCAACAATAGGCTTCAATTTATCAATTTTTCTATTTTGAAATTATATGCAGTTATTTTTTATTAATTTTCCCATTTACTTTGTGCTGGTGTTACTGTTGCTGTTTTGCTATTCTATTTCTAACTTATTAATCAATATATACTACATTTATTTTCAGTTTTGTTTAGTAATCAAGGTGTGTAAGGAGTTACAAGTTCTTCAGACTATAATTGTTACAGCAACACGTTTTGAAAAATAATATTTTCAGTGTTCATATCCTTAAATCATTTGTAGTTACAAATTTTGTAAGGGTAAGCATGTTATTTATTATAATTAGCATTTTAAATATTTTATTTGGGGTTAACATGTATAGAT